AGAGTCTAGCATTTAGAGGGCTTCAAGTTTCCCACCCGTAAATGTAGGGGTGATCAAACTTTCCAGATATCACCTGTGTGCCGAGAGGCAGGTAGTTATTCTTGGGGCTGCGCTGCATGTGAGTCCAAAGGTATGGAGAACAGCTACATTGGCGCTGGAATGCCAGTCCCCTGGGGCACTCATTACCATGTTCCCTCAAGGAACGAACCAAGGTCTGCAAGTGATTAGAGCTAAATCTCGAAGGGCTCACAAACTATACTTTGGAAGGCTTGTTAAGGTAGCCACCCTTGTTTCTCCCTTGGACTCTGCTGCTTTTTATCATAGGAACAAGTGTACAAGAAGCATACAGGGAGCCCGTTTCCAAACTCACAAGAACATTCTCAGCACCCCATTTTCAGACCTTTGCATGCCTCATTTCCGATACATTTGGGAATTTCTCCTATCATATTTGCTGGCAAATACTAAAAGCTGGTGCAGCTTAGAGTGAGTTCACTTCTGAGTAAGCATGCATAGGATTAGAGCTATGCAGCGCAATCCAGGGCATATGTACTCAGAAGCCGCTATCTTCAATATGGCATAAGGTAAAGGTAAAGGGACCCCTGGCCATTAGGTCCAGTCGTGAACGACTCTGGGGTTGCGGCGCTCATCTCGCTTTATTGGCCGAGGGAGCTGGCGTACAGCTTCCGGGTCATGTGGCCAGCAGGACTAAGCCGCTTCTGACGAAACCAGAGCAGCGCACGGAAGCGCCGTTTACCTTCCCGCTGGAGCGGTACCTATTTATCTACTTGCACTTTGACATGCTTTCGAACTGCTAGGTTGGCAGGAGCAGGGACCGAGCAATGGGAGCTCACCCCGTCGTGGGATTCGAACCCCCAACCTTCTGATTGGCAATTCCTAGGCTCTGTGGTTTGACCCACAGTGCCACCCGCGTCCCTCAATATGGCATAGTCCCAGGTATTTGTTCATATAACTCCAGCTTACATGAGCTTCGATCTGCATTGTATTCTGGTCTTCAAATTCTACCCTGCATTAAAACAAGAGAATTGTTCGTTGATTTACTCAAAGCATCATCTAGTCCAACCCCTTTGCAATGCCAGGAATCCTTTGCCCAGCATGGAGCTTGAACCCACAACCCTGAGGTTAAGAGACTGTGGGTTCATTTTGCCTTGTGCTCAGGACATGCAGTTTCTTCCTCTGGGTCCAGATAAAACTCAACCGAGTGATCAATTGGGCAGGCATGAACCCCAGAGTGTCAGTGCTGAATGGCGCAGTTCTCTGTGTTGACCACAAGATGGCACTCATTTGTGCCAAATGAGGACATTTTCCAAGCCCTGAAAATGTCACCTATTTTCTATCCTTAGCAAAGAAAACAAGGGTGTCGTCGCCCTTCACTTGCCATGCTGTAGTGCATATTTTTGCATGCACAGTTCTCCTGCAATATACACACAGAGGAGATTGTTCCTATTCCTGGCAACACATCTCACACTTTCAAAATGCGACTGAAGAGATGCGGCATAAAGGAAACTCAGATATACAGTACATAGAAACTCAGATATATAAGCTAGGCACCAGATGGCTCCTTAAACCAAAGTTAGAGTTGCCAAAACAAAATGTCTAGTTCCCATTTTGGGGGCAAGATGGCTCTGAAGTCTTATTTTTCAAAGGATGGACTGACAGTGATTGATTCTCTGTTAAACATCTGGCTAGTTCAGATGACAACCTTGAGCTAAGTTAAGAACTTTGAGATTTCAAAGAAGAAAAGTCACTTGATCCACATATATATTGGCCTATTCCTACCTTTTTTCTTAATGGTGACACAGACCATTCATAAGGCAAGAACATTCTTCACAACTGTGAGCAGGGCTGTGGCGTGGGGTAGACAAGCTGCAACAATTAGCTGTATCCTTTGAAGGTGACCCAGAAACTACAACTAATCCAGAATGCGGCAGCTAGACTGGTGACTGGGAGCAGCTGCTGAGACCACATAACACCGGTCTTGAAAGACCTACATTGGCTTCCAGTACGTTTCTAAGCACAATTCAAAGTGTTGCTGCTGACCTTTAAAGCCCTAAACGGCCTCGGTCCAGTATACCTGAAGGAGCGCCTCCACCTCCATCGTTCTACCTGGACACTGAGGTCCAGTGCCGAGGGCCTTCTGGTGGTTCCCTCACTGTGAGAAGCCAAGTTACAGGGAACCAGGCAGAGGGCCTTCTCGGTAGCGGTGCCCGCCCTGTGGAATGCCCTCCCACCAGATGTCAAAGCGATAAACAACTACCTGACATTCAGAAGACATCTGAAGGCTTTTAATGTTTAATAGGTTATTGTATTTTAGTGTTTTGTTGGAAGCCGCCCAGAGTGGCTGGGGAAACCCAGCCAGATGGGCGGGGTATAAATAATAAAATTATTATTATTATTATTATTATTATTATTATTATTATTATTATTATTATTACTACTACTACTACTACTACGCTGTTCACTGCTCCTGCTCAGGCTGCTCAGGAAAAAAGCATTTTGGTACCTGAAGTTCATTCCGATTGTGCAGATAAAATATCATGGATAGAATTCTACAGGATGTGGTATTAGTGTGTGAAAACAGCCCAAATCCAAGCATAGCCCCAGGCATTCATTTTCATATGGTGGAGATGTCAGGTGCCATCTTGATACCCAGACATCTTCACTTGGTCGCAGTTTCGAACACTGGTTAATTAGCAAGCAAGGTGTTGCACTCCTCGGCTGATGCAGACTGCCTGCCGTAGCCTTTTCCAACCTGATGCCCTCCAGACGTCTTGGGAGTGGTAGTTCAAAATATCTGGGAGGTCACCAGTTTGGGACAGGCTGATCTACAAAACACAAGGGCGGGGAGCTGGGGCCCCATGAACCTATGCATGTTGCAACACGCAACACAAGAGTGGAGTTGATTTTCACTGCTATCAGGAGCAGAAAGCCTAGCACACTTTTGCAAGGAAAACACACACCAAGCCCCGCCGGGGGGAAAGGATTCTATGGTGGCTTCTCAGAAGCTGAAGAAATGAAAGGAGTTGAGGAAAGCAAGCTAAGAGACTGAAGTCAAGTAGCAGCTGGTGGCTCTTCCACAGCCACTTCTCCGTATTTCAAAGGGCTGGAACTGTCCCCATGAGAGTGGGAATGTCCGGGGGGTGGGGGGAGGTAATTGGAGGGAAGGCACTGTCAGCACATGCATGTGTTATGCAGCCAGAGTGACAGGCAGCTGCTAGAACATTATTTGCCAGGCTCATCAACACCTTTAATTGGATCACTTCTGCTCATGAAAGTTGGCTGACTAAACTGGTATCACGTTACCAGTTTCCGGTGGCTTAAAAAAACCTACAGTCTTTTTATAGAGCTTCTTTCTTCCCACACCCAGCTAGATGCTGCCTTCTGCCCCAATACAATTTTAAAACTGGCACGGTGACATTGCACAAGGAGCAGAATATTTTCGTTGTTGCCATTATGCATTAAAATCAGTGGTGGAAAGCCAAGGATGGGGAAACTGTGGCCCTCTGGTTGTTGATACCCCTGGCTAATAGCCACGGTGGATGGAGCCAATACTAATCCAACACAACAGCCGTCACATAACAACCAAAGGTAATAGCATGCTGTACAGTTGTAAACAGGTTGAGCGATGAGCCAACTGTGGATCTTCAGACTCGCCCCTCTGGCCAGATGTACAGCCTTCCTCTGGAAAGCAAGGAGGCCTCCCAGTTTCGAGAAAATCAGGTTGTGCAGAATGCTGATTGGCTGGGCATTGTGTCAGTCACAAAGCCACCTCCCTTCCACCCCTCTTATCTCCCTGGGCAGAGTGCTGATTGGCTGGGCATTGTGACAGTCACAAAGCCACCTCCCCTCCTCTCCTCTTATCTGGCTGGGCAGAGTGCTGACTGGCTGGGCCTTGTAGCAAATGCAAAGCCAAAGCACTTCCTCCGAAATCTAGTGTTCATTCCTTTTAAGAAAAATAAAATAAAATAAAAGCCTGCCTAAAGTCCCCACCCCCTCAAAACATAGCTTCAGGAATAGGTTTATGTGTCATTTGAAGAACAAAGATGTGGGGAGCGGGCGGGAAGCAGAGCAAAAAACCAACAAAAATAGGCACTCAATCCAGTAGGACGGTGGTTTTTCAACCAGTGTGCCGTGGCACCCTGGGGTGCCTTGATTGATGGTCAGGTGTGCCGTGGGCAACACTGACCTCTGTCCCTCTTTCCCTCCTCTGGTGCCCTCTTGCATCTCTGCCTCCCCAAGGCTTGCACAGCTGTTGTACAAGCTCCCCAGGCAAATGGTGCCTCTGGGGCTGGCCAGGGAGTGATTCCAAGGCCCCTGTGGGGCAGTGAGGAGGCACCTCTCTTTGGGGTGGGGGGAGCAGCTCAGAGATCAGGGGCAACAGCAGGTGCTGCACAGAGGACTCCCAAAGAGAGGGGTGAGGAGAGGAGGCCGAGGGAACACTCCACAAGGAGTATTTGAAAAAGGGTGAGAGGCTGCCAGCTCTGCAGGCAAGGGGGTGACATAACTGGGCTCCTGAGCCCCACAGGGGTGCCGCAGAAAGAATGTAGTTGGTCAAGGGAGCCGTGGACCCAAAAAGGTTGAAAATCTCTGCTGTGGGAGGTACATCTGTACACTCCTACAGTTGGGGGTAAAGCCAGGACAAACCTAGAATACAGGCTGCAATGATGTAATTGAGCATTATCTATGTATTTTCCCCTGAGGCAATAATTAGGGCTTTCTGCAGATGGCTTGACAACTTTGATGCACTGTGGGGTTCTATTATTTAAGTCCCCTAAAACACTTAGCTTCTCCTGCAATTGTTGTGACATACTCTGTTGCTGGGAGAAGCTATTTTCCACGACTCGTATTTTATAAAAGCAGTGCTCAGGCAAGTGCATTGTGGAGCTGGCAGCACCGCAGGTTGGTGGCCATTTTGGGATGTGCCCGCAAAGGAAAAAGAAGAATAAAAGAGATGAAAGAAAGGCAACCAGAACAACCCAGCGTCTCAGTTAATAATTTATCATCAAAAGAAGTTCAGGAGCAGAACACAGCTCAGAGTAATAAAAAAAAAGTCGAAAAAGAGCATGCACGTTTATCAGATAGACTTCCTCCGTAGCTGGGAGTGCTCCCGGCAGCTGGGGCTATTGGACGACAGAGTGCTCCGGGGGGAAGACAAGCCAGTGTGGTCCTTACCGCCCAGGGAGACTTCCATGATTTTGTAAGAAATGGAATTGTAATATACAAGGTTGGTGTGGCAGTTGAAGGCATCTGGTTGGGAAGGAACTGGGCTCCTGCTTAGCCGCGGCCGGTAGCACAGGCAGTTGCAGAAGGAAGGGACTCTCGTGGTGGAGCCTGAGGACTTGCCCCTCTGTCTCCCGGCCTCTTCTTGCATCAACGGCAGGAGGTTCATCTGACTCGTCCCGTCTTCGATGGGGAGCAGGAGGTCGTTCCTGCCCCGGTTCTCCTCCCGGCTGATGTAATTCCTGGCCCTCCTCAGAGACGCCCTTTCCTCTTCGTCCCGCCGCTCGTCTTCCGAATTCATAATTAAAAACCGGAAGACGACCAAGTTGAGGAAAGCCCCGATCACCGTCAAGCCCACCAGGATGTACATGAAGCTGAAGGCGACGTAAGGGGGCTTCTTCTGCAAAGCTTCGTGCTTCTGCAGGGCCACAAAGTCTCCGAACCCAATGGTGGTCAAGGTTATGAAGCAGTAATAAAAGGCGTGGAAGAAAGTCCAGCCTTCAAAATAGGAGAAGGCGGCTGCTCCGATGCCCAGCGTCCCCATGCAGGAGAGGAAGCCCACCACGACCATGTTCTTCATGGAGACGGTTGGCTGCCTCATTCCCAGGCACCTCTTTATTTTCTTCAGCACCATTCGGACCAGGATGTTCATGCGCTCGCCAAGGCTTTGGAACATCACCAGGGTGAGGGGAATGCCGAGGATCGCATAGAACATACAGAAAACTTTGCCAGCATCCGTTCCAGGCGCAGCATGTCCGTAACCTGTGGCAAAAGAAGAGAAAACGTAAGCATTTCTCTAGATTGCGTATTAATGAATGGAGAACCATGTCAACACAATCCTTTGTCACAGAATTATTCCCACCACCTGCCAAAAATGTTTTATTTAGTCCACTCCTCCAAGGAGCTCAGGATGAAACACAGAAGCCCATTTTTGAACTCACAACACCCTGAGAGACAGCAAGTGGCCCAAGCATACCCAGAAAGTTTCCTGGATGAATAGGGGGACCTGAACGCAGGTCTCATGAACCCAGTTCTGTATCTCTCCTCTGATTTCAGGGGGCATTATTGTTGCTACAGGTTATTTTTCATTGGTACTGCAATTCTAATCCATTTTGATTTGTATGTTGCCCAGAGAACTCAGGTTATCAGCTGACCCAAAATATGAAATAAGTAAATATTTGCTTTGATTGCATTATAGAGGTTCTCAAGCACATGTCCAAATTATCAGTCTAATGACCCCACATGTCCTAATTTTCAGCAGTTTTTCATATCACCCACTAGAGTCGCTTCTAATTTAATCAAGTGTAAGCTTCACTCGGTGTACTTCAGTTAGTATTGCCTTTGCTGCGCATCATCATTGAATGAAACAACTGCTCCAGGAGATAAGGTGAGCCATAGGGAAACCTGAGACTGCAGAAGGGGGAAATGTTAATGTTTGTCCATCGTCAATAGCTTCTTCCTGGGCCCCTTTTTCAAAACAGTCAGATAAACAAGAAGAGAGGACCACACCGAGGTGGGTGCAATATGCCCAACGCCACTACAATTCCTCATGGCAGTAGTTCAGCTGCACAAGCCTAATGGAAGCTGGTAACCTCTGCAATACACAGAGGTCAAAGTATCTGGATGGACCATCACACTACAACTTGCTGTAACTGTTGTGGACAGAAGAGCCATCAAAAGCCATATTCTAGTCCCAGCAAATACAAACTCTACCATTTAAGCCTGTTTACACTCCACGAGATTAGCCCATCACACCAAACAGCCTCCAAGTAACAGATCAAAAGCCTGACTCATTAAAGAGCAATCATCTTATGTTGTTGCCATTTTGCTGAGTTATGGGATGGAAGATGTTTAATAGTAATCAACCATTTCTTTTATTCTGAAGATTTTTGATGCAATTTTCATTGAGCTTCCAACAGATTGTTTTAGATCTCATAAACTTGCCTTGGACACTCTTCAGTGGAAATACAGATGACAGACTTTTAAAATAAATAAGGTTTAAATCATCCCTGGGCAGTCTATGACACATTGTAGCATATTTCAGTATATGAAAATATTTCTGATCCTGTATTATGATTCCTTCTGCCCTCATAGCTTCTAACAATTCATTAAAAGCTATAATAAGAAAACAGTAAAAAGTAGTAGAACAAACAGGTCTCTCCCTCTCTAATAATGTAAACGAGCCAGATTTTTGCTGCTCAACAAAAGACAAGCAGGGACAAGGCCAGGTGGGTCTCTTTAGAGGGAGAAAGAATCCCACAAACAAGGATCAAATGTTGTGTATCTGTTTGCTGTTCCTCATGCAGCCATCTCATAGCTTTCTAATGTAAGCACCTGCCAAACTGCAGATGATGGAGGGTAACAGAACTCCACCTCTTGATGTTGACCTTAATTCCCGCATACATTAGCAAACCATACACCTATGTAGGGGAAATGCTGTCCATAACATAGCTGTCAAACATTTGATGCTAGACAAAGGCTAAGTCCAGGAAATGGTTTAAAGCAGCCTTTCCCTACCCTGGTGCGCTCCAGTTCTGTTGGACGACAATTCCCATCTACTGCAGCTAGCATAGCCAATGGTCACGGATGACAGCAGTTGTAGCCTAGTCTAGAAGAATGAGGGGCCTCTGCAAGCCCCTCTAACTATCAGCCTTACCCATATCGTTGGGTTACACTCCCACCAGCCCCAGTCAGCATAGTCAATGGTCAGGAATGATGGGAGTTGTAGTGGGAGGGCCACACATCAGCCACACTTCCTGTAGACTATCTGGATGGAAGCCCACCTAGAAACCACATGCAAGTTGTTTTGAGTTCAGAGGATGAGTGTGGAATAGGTGTAATAATAGGGGTGGTGCAGTTGGCTCCACATAGCATCCCTCCTGCATCTGTTGCCATGGTGATCTAGTAGTCACCAGGAAGTTTGTCTGGAGGAAGACAAGCCATGAAACCAGGTTCAGATGACAAAGCCAAAGCATGGCTTGGCTCACAGCGGTGCAGGAGACCACCCTCTCAAACGATGCTGTAGTTTGGCTTAGCATTATGTGCAAACCAGCTCACTGGGCCAATGTTTTCATTGAGCTGTCCACCATGCCCCAAGATCTGTTAAGTCTCACCATCAACACAGACCTCAGTTATTTCTTTACAATATTTATTATTTGCCTTTTGCTGCTCATCAGAGGCCCAAGCCCAAGCCAATATACAGTCGCTAAAAATATGCGCATTTGGAATTTGGGGCCCAGTGTGTATCGCTTTACACTTACATTAACCATCGCCTGCCATTTTGTTGCCCACTCACCCAAGTTTGGAAAGATCCTTTTGGAATGCTTGTAGTTTTTTCCCACCACTACCTTGTCATCTGTAGACTTGGCCACTTCACTGTTAACCCCCAACTTAAGGCCACTTAGGATTGTTAAAAAACAAAGAAACCCTGGTCCCAATAGAGATCCTTGGAGGACCCCAATTCTTACAGCCCTCAATTAATGGACCTGTCCATTTATTCCTACTCTCTTCTTCCCTTTTTTTAAGCCAGTTAAGTGACCAACTCTGGGGTTGCGCACTCATCTCACTCTATAGGCCGAGGGAGCCGGCATTTGTCCGCAGACAGCTTCTGGGTCATGTGGCCAGCATGACTAAGCCGCTTCTGGCGAGCCAGAGCAGCACACGTAAACGCCGTTTACCTTCCCGCTGGAGCAGTACCTATTTATCTTCTTGCACTTTGACGTGCTTTTGAACTGCTAGGTTGGCAGGAGCAGGGACCGAACAACGGGAGCTCACCCCGTCATGGGGATTCGAACTGCTGACCTTCTGATCGGCAAGCCCTAGGCTCTGTGGTTTAACCCACAGCGCCACCAGTGTCCCTTTCTTTAAGCCAGTTACCAATCCATATAAGGCCCCATCCTCTTATCCCATGACAACAACATTTACTCAGGAGCCACTTCCCCTTGCCTCATGGCAGGGACACCTCTGGGTGCCAGTTTCCTACAGCAGAGACAGTCAGCAAGAGGACAAAAGGCTGCATGCTGATGATGAGAGCATCATGCACAGCCGATGGGAGTGACACACGCGCCACAGCAATATGACGACAGCATGGCATGCCCATTTATTATGCCAGACGTCTGCAGGTCCAAAGCCAGCAGGACACTCTCCTGTTTCTTCTGGTTTACCTCGCCCCTTGTGGGAAAGTGCCATCATTGGTGCTAACTGTACTTTCCAAAGAACAGGCAGTTCAAGATGAACGCCCTGGATACAGAAAACGTGTATAGTATATATATATTTGCAGCAAATGGAGCAATTGCTTTTATAATGGGACGAGAGGGGAGCTGCTGTTGTCCTTTCTTATTGCAATGTTTAAAAGGTTCTTCCTCTACTGAGGTTCAATAAAGAACTTCATAGTTGCTCATTAAAATGAGTATTCAGGACACTAGCTCCCCAGACAGTGAATGGCATGATTGTCAGTGACCCAAAAATGCCACGGAAAGAACAGGGACAGGTCTGCCTGCTGAGTTATTTGCTCCCTGCAGTAAGCACCCATAGGTGCTTGTTATCCATCTTCATGCCCTTAACTCTTCACTGGCTATGTTCCACCTGCACTGTCAGAGGCATTGTGCCTCTGAATACTAGTTGCAAGAATCGCAGGTAAGAAGAGTGCTGGGGTGCTTGTGTCCATCTTCGCAGGCTTCCCACAGTTGGCTGCTGTGTGAACAGGAAGCTGAACTACATGTCCCATGGGCCTGACCCAGCAGGGATTGTCTGGAGTTCTTACATACTGACACCACATAATGCAGAGAGGCGAGAAATCTGCACCCCTGCAGATGTTGTTGAACTCTCATTGGGCCAGCGGTCAGAGATTATGAGAGTTAGGTGTCGGTGCAGAAATTATAGGTGGTGCAGTGGCAAATGCAACAAAAGTGAGCATGAGAGGATCTTGGTTGCTTTTAATGTGGCTTTGGAACTGCCAAACCCTGTGGACACTTGGTTTTATATGGTGGCAATTTATGCTCATCTCTCAAGAAGCAAAAGTGTCCTCAAATTCACTTGATTATTATGTAGTGGTATTGATGTGCTTGAAGAGGGTTGGATACCTGCTGAATGGGCAGTGCTGGGTCTGAAGCTTGGCTGAGAAATCATGTACAGTGGTACCTCGGGTTAAGAACTTAATTCGTTCCGGAGGTCCATTCTTAACCTGAAACTGTTCTTCACTTGAGATACCACTTTAGCTAATGGGGCCTCCTGCTGCCGCCACTCTACCACCACATGATTTCTGTTCTCATCCTGAAGCAAAGTTCTTAACCCAAGGTACTATTTCTGGGTTAGTGGAGTTTGTAACCTGAAGTGTCTGTAACCTGAAGCATTTGTAACCCGAGGTACCACTGTATTTTGCCAAGAAAACTCTGCCCCCAATTTCAGGTGAGAGAAAGCTAGCTGTGGCTACACTGTACTGGAGACAAAGCACTCAGTACATATGTACTTGCAGGTGCCCTTCACTGTAGTTGCTCCACGTTTTCTAGGGCTGAAGCCCAGGTTGAAATTTGACCCTGCTGATGCCCAGCCCATGTGGACTGAAGATAGCTCACGGTCTCCTGGAGGACCCACTGATCAATTTCTGCCAGAACATCTAAAGCTTGTTGGAAGTTGGCTTCTTGCTAAGAACGATAGACTAGATGGAACTTGAGCTGGTCCAGCAAGGGACATCTTATATTCTTAAAATGAGAATGTTCTACTCATGAGGTCTTTCAACATGTTTGGAAATGACATTAAGCCAGATGCGTGGAGACAGTGCAAGATGGCACACACTGCTACCATTCCTGATCTCCTGGGCATTCAAGGGCTCTCTATGCACAGCCTACACATGCACAACCTGAGCGCATGAAGGCTGCCCCTCCCTACTTTATGAACCTTACAAAATGTAGGTTGCAGATCACACTATGGCAAAATGCATACAACCTGCATGTACATATGTTGGTTCACACACAGAGCCAATGAAGGGATGGAAGTTCAGAATCAACTTCCCTTCTGCACATTTCAGCCCAGCATGGTTAACTCTGGGGTAAAAATGGCCAGGTTGACTAGGTTGACACTGGTTAAGTCTTTACTGATTGCAAAGACGAACCCCTGCATTGTACATTTAACACACATTAGTGGACCACAATGGGGATCTGGGGAGGTGGAGAAAGGGGTCAAATTGAGCAAGGCGGAAACAAGCCCACACCGACTCCTGGTCCAGGAGTGGGAAACCTGTGGCCTTCCAGATGTTGCTGGACTGAACTCCCATCGTCCCTGGCCATTGACCATACTGGATGGGGTTGATGGGAGTTGGAGTCTAAAGACTTCCACAGGCTCTCCTGTCCCTGCCCTGGAGAGTGACAGAAGAGAGCCCGGCGCACCCAGTGATGGCTTGCTTTGGGGATCGCCCTAAATGGGAAGGGGGATCCCGCCGCGGACTCACCGATGGTGGTGATGACCGTGATGGCGAAATAGAAGGAGCCGGCGAACCTCCACTGCGTGCCTGCTCGGTGCGGCTCGGCCCGCAGCGCCAGGCGCTCGAACTCGCGGTAGTCCTCGGCGGTGAAGCGGTACTTCCTCCGCAGGCCGCTGCGCTTCTGCTCCAGGAGGCGCTTGTGGCCGATCTCGGCCTCCGACTCGAGCGCATCGAAGACCGCGGCGCCCACCAGCAGGTAGGAGAAGACGCACACGATCAGCGACAGCGTGCGCAGGTTCTGCCGCTTCATGGCGAGGCCGGCCAGCCGGGCGCCGCTGCCCCGGGCACAGCGCATCAGCCGCGGGGGCGCCGCCGCCGCATGGCACCGCCGCGCGGGGAGCTGCCGGCCTCGGCGGCCGACGGCCTCCTCGGAGCCCGGGGCATTCGCGGCACAGCCTCTCCCCGGAGCCCGACCACCCCGGCTCCCGCTCACATCGAGGGTCGCTTCTCGTCGCGCAAGAGAAGGCTACCGGGAGCGCCCCCCCCCCGCCGGAGCCCCGGTTCTCCGCTCGTCCTCAGCGCCTCGGTGCAGCTCCCTCCTTGCGCCGATCGCAGCCACGCAGCTCCGGAGGCGAGGAAGAGGAGCCGGCGCTGCTCCCGCCGCTGCTCCCCGCGTGCTCCCGCCGCAGGGACTCGCCGGACCCGGCCACGCCTCCGCTTGCCAGCGCCGGCTGCGAGGAGGAGGGGCTGGCGGGGCCGGGGCTGGCGCGCGGGGACGGGCCACACCTACCCACAGCGCGCTCGAGGAGAAGGCAAACGGATCGGTACTCTTCCCACGGCCGCTCTCTGAACTACCCCCTCGCCTTCTGCTCCTTTGCGCGATGCTTTTGCAGCGGGGATTTAAGACTGTCGGTTCAGGACGAGGACAAGCCCAGAAACGGGATAAGATCCTAACCTAAGAACAGCCTTCTTCTTTCTTCTTCTTTGGCGATCACTCGTAGCCGAATAAGATTGTCTTCCATAAACACGGTTTTAACAGCGAGTCCGTAAGTGACCGTGGAGGCCAATTCTGGATCCACACGTCCTTCCACAGTGGGGACATTGGTTTCCGGGTGGGAGTTGATCACGGTGTGGATTTGCCAAGTGTGCCATCCTCTTAGCACGTTTCTCCCTTGCTTCCTGAGTGTCTTCAAAGCCTATGACACTTTGATAAAGGTTGTTCTTGGTTTGGTCCTCTTGCATCCTTTTAGGAAGCATAAGGCTGCTTCCTAAAAGAATGCAAGAGGACCAGACCAAGAGCTCATCCTGTTCTCAGAGCCAGATCATAGAATCATAGAATTGGAAGGGACTCGAGGGTCATCTAACCCAACCCTCTGCAATCCATGACAGATGGCTATCCAACCCCCGCTGAGAAACTTCCAAGGAAGGAGAGTCCACCACCTCTCAAGGAAGACCATTCCACCGCTGGGAAACCTGGAAGGAGGACTTCCATTTGTCTCTCAGTTTGTGATGCCCAGCATCCTGCCTTCAACAAAGGAGGTGGAACAGAGCCATTGCTGTTAGTAGCTATGGATCACATTCTCTGTGCCTTTGGCTAATACTCTTTTAAAGGCATCCAGAATTGTTGCCGTCATGAATGACATCTTGTGGATAGCTCAGTTGGTTAGAGCTTGGTGCTCCTGATAACACCAAGGCTGCAGTTTTGATGCCCATATGGGAAAGGCACATATTCCTGCCTTGGACTAGATGATCCCCAGGGTCTCTTCCAGCTCTACAGCTCTGTGCTTCTATGCCCTTGAGTCCCTTCCAACTCTATGATTCTAATGTTGTGACCTTTTCCAACAGGGGGAGTTGCCATTTTGGTTTCCCCTTTCTTACACTTTTCCAGCTCTGCAATATCCTTTTCAAGGTGAGGCAACCAGGACGATACACAGTATTCCAAGTCTGGTCTCACCCTAAGAACATGAGAAGATCCCTGCTTGGAGCAGGCCAATGGACCATCTAGGCAACACTGTGTTCTCAAAGTAGTCAACCAGATGCATATGGGAAGTCCAAAAGCAACAGCTCAGTGCAACAGCAGTCTCCCACTTGTGATTCCTATCAACCCGCAAATAAATTTGCACAACACATGGATACTGGCAGTTTATTATAAACCCCTTTCCTAATCAGTACTGTCATGAAATTAACCTTTTCCACTGCTGCCACTCACAGGGTCAACATCAGCAGTGAACTATCCTAGTCACTCGTGGCTGGTTCATGTCCCATTAGTGTATATATTAAATTAGGGTGGGTTTTGGTTTTTTTGCTCCGATGTGCGTTATTTTACATTTGTTTACATTTGCCATTTTACTACCAATTCACTCAGTCTGGAGTTCTTTACAATCCCTTTCAGTTTTAACCACCTCAAACAATTTTGTATGGTCAACAAATTGGCTACCTCACATCACCTCTTAACTCTGAATTATTTCCAAACAAGTTAAAAAGCACAGGCCCAAATGTCAATCCTTGGGGGACACCACTTTCTACACCCACCCATGGACAGAACTGTTCATTTATTCCTACTCTCCACTTCTTATTTCTTAACCAGGCCATGGAGGGAAGGACCTGGCCTCTTCGCCCTGCTGCTGAACTCGCTCAACTGCTGAACTCACTTGTTACCTTGATGCTTTTTCACTGGGATTGAGAGACTGCATCATCTGAGGCACCCCTCTTGCTCATGGAATGGACTCCTTCACTCAATTGTTTTTAAGTTTATAACCCTAGCTCAGGGACGCGGACTTATAAAAAATATTGGGGGGGCCCGGGAAAGCTCATGAATAATAAATAAGCTCATGAATATGCAAATAAAGTGGCGCCGCCTCCTCGTGAGCGAATAGGGGAGAGCGTGCTGCGCCTATTAATCAGCTCCAAAGGAAATTGGGTGGAGCTTTTGCTCGGGAGGGAGGGCAGGAGGCATGCAGCCCGCCCCTCCCTGTGCATTTTGGGCTGGGGGAGGGGCGGCGATGGCGCTCTGCTGGAGGGGCGCCGGAGATTATTGGGGGGGCGGAGCCCCCCCAAACGAATTTTTGAGGGGGCTCGGGCCCCCTCAAGCCCCATGGAGTCGGCGCCTATGCCCTAGCTAGCTTTCTCCAGCTGCTAAGGCAACTAATTAGATCAGGAGGTTCTTGTTTGAAAAGCACAAGGAGGTGTGTGTCTCAACAACAGGGCTCACACAAATTCCAGTCAGGAGGAGTTTGATCAGAAGAGATAATGAGATAAAAGAAAGTGCTTCTGTCAGTATCTTTTTTTAGCCCTATGCAGGTGTTCTGATCATGTGCAAAACTGATACATCAGCAGAGATGTGCATGCTATTTTAGGAAACGAGGACATTGCATAAATACTACTAACAAAAAATACAGTTTACCCACTAGAATGGGTAGGATAGCTTCAACTATATCTTGAAGTAAGTGAACTCATGCTCACATCGCCATCTAAAGAGCTGCCCCACTTCCATAAGACCATTAAGTCCAGAGTCTAAATTTACCTAACTGCATCATTGTATCCACTAAATAAATTAGGGTTGGGCACACAATCCTCTCACTTCTTATGTGACAATAACTGGGGGGCAGGGGGTGGAATATGTTTGCAAACAGGTTCCTCCTAATTATTTTCCCAGTTATTGTCACATAAGGCCTGGCGAAATGTGAGTTACGTACTATGGTGTCTGGAAGAACAAAGCTTACTCTGCACTTCATTGATATATCAAACTAAGTGGCATCTAATGATTTTAACCCAGTAGCGAAATTACCAAATGCTATACAAGACTTATCGAAAGCTATACTAGAATGGGACTGCGCTGCTTAACATGCACCGTTGAAAAAAGTGCTAATTTGATTCATTTGAATCAAAGCCAAGATGGTGTCAGTATAAATTTAGCTCCCAGCTATTCTTGCTGATAGATAGCCCACTATCTTCCACACACTTCTCCCACTCCTAAGCAAGGCTGCTAAGAGGTTGAAGGGTACCCCAGCACAAAAGGACACAGGTGGCTCTTGGGCTTGCCAATTGGAAGGTCAGCACTTCGATGACAGGATGAGCTCCCATTCCTCTGTCCCAGCTCCTGCCAGCCTAGCAGTTCGAAAGCACACCAGCACAAGTAGATAAATAGGTATCGCTGTGGCAGGAAGGTAAACGGCATTTCTGTGCGCTTTGGCTTCCATCACAGTGTTCCGTTGCACCAGAAGTGGTTTAGTCATGCTGGCCACATGACCTGGAAAGATGTTTGCGGACTAATGCCAGCTCCCTCGGCCTGAAGCAAGATGAGCACCGCACCCTAAAGTCGCCTTTGAGTGGACTTAACAGTCCAGGGGTTCTTTACCTTTACCTTTTTATCTTATTCCAGCACAATCCACCATGTGATTAGACCATACGTTCACCATGTTTGGTATCTCAGAATGTGAGGGTTGATAACTTTTAGATCAATATTTTCCCTGCAGTTCCGTTTCTGCTGTTTTATAAACCATAATAGAGCAAGCAGATGGCTAGCTCTGAAAGAGGGGGACGGGGAGCCACTCTTCCATTTTTAAATACAGCTGGTTAAAAACCACCATGTCTACGTGCGCAAAGGGGAAAAAAGAAAAAGTAACCTTCAGAACAACATTTTGATATATTAATATATTTGATATATTGATCAGCTGTATTTTAAGCTATATTTTAATTAACTGTTTGTTTGTTTGTTTGTTGTTTTTCTATTATGTTTTATTGTAATTCATATTTGGTGTTAGCCGCCCTGAGCCTAGCCCTGGCCAGGGAGGGGGGGAATATAAATAAAAATTATTATTATTATTATTATTATTATTATTATTATTATTATTATTATTATTATTATTTAGCAGCAAATCCCATGACATTCAGGACTTTTTATTATTATTTTAATGTAGAATGTCTGAATTTCAGTGACACCCCTCCTCTCTCTCACACACACTGGATGTATGAAGGTTGCTGCATACACTCAAAGGGCAGTGAGGCTGCAGCTCTGGCCCTGTCCTGAGGTCATGCACCTGTCCCCAGTGTGCTCAGGTGTGGGCACCTACAGGGGAAAAAATAACACCTATGTCCATGGCAGATTTGGGAGAAATCATAGAATCGGAGAGTTGGAAGGGACCACAAGGGTAATCTGTTAGGATATAGTTCCGTTCCACCTTAAAAGGATCAGGCATGACTGTTGTGTGTCACATGCCTGTTTACTTCCAGCACAGTCTACTGGGAACTTCCGTTTGTATATTGCTTTTGCTATACTGTTGTGCTTGGACACAAAGGGAAGCAGACATGTTGTTTCCTTTGTTCCTGAACTATGCTGAATAAACACCTGTAAATAATGCTTACACATGTCTCTGTCCGCCATTTCTGATGTGAAAAGTTATTCACTCTGCTGACTAGAGCGTGCCAAGTCTCTAAAGGTCTCTGAGGCTTGTGTTGCTGTCTGATGCTGTTCCGAGGACTGGAGATCGCCTGGCTGCTGGCCGGTGGCTGGAGCCAGCTGGGGCCTGCCAAATGCCTCCGTCTCCCCAGATGCATCCCAATATAATCTAGTCCAACCCACTGCAATGCAGGAATCTTTTACCCAATGTGGAGCCCTGAGATTAAGAGACTCATGGTGTTCCGACTGAGCTATCCCTTATGTGTATGTCCATGAACACCGCTATTTAAAATCAAATCAACAAATCCATGCTTGAGCCACTGTAGGCGT